AAAGGCCTTAAAATGGAATAAAATAAGAGCAATATTCACTAACTACCAGCAGTGTAGTGTCTCTCACGTTATAAGTGTTCAACAAGGTAGTTGTTTTTAAGTCATGGCACGTTAGACTGTATTCCAGACTTTTTCCTTAACGTTTATTAGTCTGTTGGATTTTGAAGTAAATTTTTGGGAAATCTTAGGAATTCAGGACTGAGCCAGCAGAATTAGCCAAGTGAATGAAAAGAAGGGTAACAGAGCTGGAAAAACAATTCCCATAAATGGCCCCTCCCCCTTAGATTTGCATTTCACATGTATTCTTTCTCAACCCCGTCAGCAGTCCTTTGAGATAGGCAGGTCAGGTGGTGTGACATCCGTTTAACAGATGAGGTTAAAAGGCTAGTTAAAGATAGTAAGTATTGGAGCTGCCACAGGGACCAGGGACCTCTCCCGGCTAGATCAGTCCCTTTGCAGCTCTTCCTCACAGCTGCTCCTACTGTAGCCAAAATGGCACCAACTGTTAGGAGGCTATAGGAAATGCAGGCAGCTTCTGCCAACCCAAAGCAGCTCCCCCTGTGGCATTCTCTGCAGCTAGACCTTAGTGTGGGATTAGGAACAGGTGCCCTGGAGCCATAATTCCCAGCTTGAATCCCAGCTTCACGACTTACTGCTGTGTGGCTTTAGGCAAGTTATTAATTTCTCTGTGCCTTAGTTTCCTCATCTATACAGTAGGGATAATAATAGTGCCTATTCTATAAGAAAAGTACTTTAATTAATAAAAGTAAAAAGCTTAAAACTGGGGCCCTGGCACAGAGTAAACACTTAAATCTTACCTGTGGTCATGACAATATCCCCTGGGCAGTCAGACCAAATTATTTACAGAGCAGATCCTATTACAATAGCTGGTGTCTCCTTAGTGCCTACTACGTTCCAAGCACTGGGCTAAGCACTTTGTGCATCGTCTCATCCAACTCTCAAAACCACCATGGGAGCAGGAATGTGTTCCCACTTTATGGCCAAGGAAATTAAAGCTCAGAAGCTTTAAATCACTTGACCAAGGTCGCTCAACTAATACATGGCTGACCCAGGATTTGAAGCCAGGAATGCCTGACTCTAAAGGTGTGAAAAACTTCTGATATTTGTGTTTCTTACTCACACCCCCTGACACCAATAACCTCATATTACAAAGAAAGAAGTGGGAGCCAAATGACTAGCCACAGGATCAAATCCAGGTTTCCTGAGACCCAGCCAGGGTTCTTGCCTCGGATTGGCCAGAGCTGCTCCCAGAGAAGGCTGGAATAGGAGAAATGGCTGGTTTCATGTTGGCCTCTTCGCCCTCCTCACACGCCCATGGCCCAGGCATGCTCAGAAGCCTGATGGCTGGGTGTTTTCCCCTAGAGTGACTGCACCAAGCTGTTCAACCAAGGCATTGGAGGGGAGCAGGCCCAGGCCAAGTTTGACAGCTGCCTTTCTGACTTGGTTGCCGTGTCCAACAAATTCCGAGACCTCTTGCAGGTAAGCCCCAGGTTCAACTGCTGCCTGAATCCTGGGCCTGTGTCTCGCTCTGAGAATATTGTCACTGGCTTATCATGGGCTTCATGCATATAAGGAAACGGGAGGCGGGGAAGACGAGGCACGAGGGAGCAGAGTGCAAGCCACTGAACTTGTGCGAGTCCCTTGAAGACTAAAGGTTTTTCAGCAGTGCAGCTGTCATGTTGACAAGCTGGCATTCTGGTCCTCTAGAATCTCCACAGTGCCAGGAGCCCTCAGAAGGGTCCTCAGAGGAAATTGAACCATGTGGGTACTGAGATCTGCTTGGCCTTAGCCGAAGGTGCTGCCTAGTACAAGGCACTCAGAAATCTCTTCTTTCTAGAGTTTAACAGACCAACCCCATGGTCTCATCTCTGGCCTGGACCTGAATCAGAATATATCTGGAAAGGAACAAGTTGTTCCTGGAGTCTTTGATTAGCATTATTTCTGTTAGACTTCAGACAGGGCCTGCAGAAAAGCCTCATGGCTGGAAGGATGCCCTGACAGTCAAAGGATGGGTAGAGCAGGAGAAAGGGAAGGGATGGAGGCATGTGCCTTCTGTGCCTGATGCGTCTTTGCCTTGTCCTACAGGAAGGGCTGATGGAGCTAAACAGCACAGCCATCAAGCCGCAGGTGCAGCCTTGGATCAACACCTTTCTCTCTGTTTCCCACAACATCGAGGAGGTCAGCCTGACCACGGACGGCCACAAAGCCCAGGATTACCCCTCATTCCCCAGCCCACAGCTAGAGTGCAGTGGAGCTGTCTGAACAGACTAGACCTTACATATTTCTCAGGCCCACTTCCCCTGTGCTCAAAGGCTAGGTTCGTCCCAGAAACAGGTGGTTCCTCCCAGAACAGGTTGTTCCTGCAGTCAGAGGGCTCCGAAAGACACCTAAAGGGAGTTTGCCTTGACCTGATGCATTCTCATTTATTGAGGCTCTTTTTGCCCCACATCTTATAGACTTGGGATCTCTCTCTCTCTCCCTCTCTCCCTCCCCCTCCCTCCCTCCCTCTCTCCCTCCCTCTCTCCCTCCCTCTCTGCATTGAGTCTTCATTGCTGCGCATGCACTTTCTCTAGTTGCAATGAGCAGGGGCTACTCTTTGTTGCGGTGCATGGGCTCTAGGCACACAGGCTTCAGTAGCTGTGGCACACGGGTTCAGCAGTTGTGGCTCGCAGGCTCTAGAGCGCAGGCTCAGTAGTTGTGGTGCACGGGCTTAGTTGCTCTGCAGCATGTGGGATCTTTCCAGACCAGGGCTCAAACCCGTGTCTCCTGCATTGGCAGGTGGATTCTTAACCACCGCACCACCAGGGAAGCCCCTCTAGCCTAATCTTTTCATTCCTGTATAACATGAGATACAAGAGGGGATAAACTGCCAGGAGCTTTGCCATATTGCATGGGCCACTGCTGCAGCCCGGGGCTGTTTGCTGGTCAGAAGTGTGATGCAGAAACAGCAGCAGTTTCTGCCAGCCTGATTTTAAGCTGATTTCAGGCTGGATGAGTTATAAGCTACAAGGGTGGGGGTGAATGGCCCTTCTTGGAGACGCCCCTGGTGACCCACCTTGCTTCCTGATAATAGGAAGAATTCAATGACTATGAGGCCAATGACCCTTGGGTACAACAGTTCATCCTTAATCTGGAGCAGCAAATGGCAGAGTTCAAGGTGAGCAGGGGCTCTTGGGACCAGCCTATAGAATTACCCACCTCTGCCCCAGTCAGCAGCCTGAGGCTTCTCATCACACTCCTGCTGGGAACCCAGGAAGCTCTTCCGAGCCCCAGGCCATAGAAATACTTCCACAGGAGAAAGACTCCTGGGAGGCAGAGGGGTGAGTTGGGACTCCCGCTGATGCCTAACCTGTTTGCAGGCCAGCCTGTCTCCAGTCATCTACGACAGCCTGACCAGCCTCATGACCAGCCTTGTCGCAGTCGAGTTGGAGAAAGTGGTGCTGAAGTCCACCTTCAACCGGGTAATGTCAAGGAGGCACAGGCCCCCCCGCTCTGTTGCTTTCCCTCTAAGGAAGACAAGTTCGTCCCCTCTGTCTGCCCAGGCCCTGCATATCTAGGCTCAGTCCTGCCCTGAGGCAGTGGGGCCAGCTGAGGCACCATCTGAGGCCCAGCTGGCCTTGCAGCCCAGCACTGAGTGAAATAGGGGGCCAGTTCTGCTTGGCCAGAGGGCCAGACCTTAAACAGTGACTGGGCTCGTGTTCCCTTGCAGCTGGGCGGTCTGCAGTTTGACAAGGAACTGAGGTCACTCATTGCCTACCTTACCACGGTGACCACCTGGACCATCCGAGACAAGTTTGCCCGGCTCTCCCAGATGGCCACAATCCTCAATCTGGAGCGGGTATGTAGGGCTCCCTTGGCCTAGCCAGGGAAAGGTGACTGGGAAGAGAGGCAGAGACAAAATTTGAATCCCTGCCACTCCCTCAAAACCAAGTCTCCACCAGCAACCCAGCCCTGCAGGCCACCTTCTTCCTGGGCACCCCTGCTCTGCCTCTGGTGGAGCCCAAGGCCTTCTCTCAAGATAGCCCCTCCTTGCTGACTCATCTCTGTTCTTCCCCGTAGGTGACCGAGATCCTAGATTACTGGGGCGCCAACTCTGGCCCATTGACGTGGCGCCTCACTCCTGCTGAAGTACGCCAGGTGCTGGCTCTGCGCATAGACTTCCGCAGCGAGGACATCAAGAGGCTGCGCCTGTAGCTGCCAGGGTGACCCCACCTGGCCCATCACACTTTGGGGCCCATTCCCTAAGTGGCCACAGCCCAGACTGTTCCACTGCTGGCAGCAGGAAACAAGGCCCCGACGCAGTCCACTCTCTATTCTCAGACCTGTCAGGGTGCTTTGGGGGACAGTCTCTCCCCACCAAGTGAGGTAGGTCCCCCTTGGCTCCTAATTAGGTGGGGAAGACAGGGCAGGCCAGTCTCCTGCATGGGTAGTCATTCTCTCGTCCTTGGACACTGCAGCAAACGTGGTCCCCCTTGGCTCCTAATTAGGTGGGGAAGACAGGGCAGGCCAGTCTCCTGCACGGGTAGTCATTCTCTTGTCCTTGGACACTGCAGCAAATGGGCTGCCTCCCTTCCAGTCTTAAAGGACTTAGGTTTATCTAGGGACCTAAGGAATTAGGTTTATTCCGAGGAGAGGCTGTGATGTTTATGATCACCCTAAATAAAGATACTCCTTGAAGAGATGCCAGTGTGCTGTTTCCAGGAAGGGCTGGATGCTACAGAGCAAGACAGGCCCATCAGTTGCACTGAAATGTGAAGGCAAAAGCCTAACTCCTCAGCCTCCTCCCACACCCAGAGAGGCACATGGCCACCACCAGGACCCACATGATAACAGGTACCTCATCCAATCCCAGACCCTCATCCCATCTCTTGGGCCCTCAGCACCAGAAGTTGGATCATCCCAGGGGCAGTTTCCCACAGTGCCAGGGGAAGTGGGAATTGCTCCCAGCAAGAACAAAAAAGATCTTTATGAGGACAACCTTGAAGAGCAGAGTGAATTTATTCCAAGAAGATTGCAGTCCTGAGAACTCACGGCCCACAGGCACATGGCAGAGTTGCTGGTTAAGGCCACGATTAGCAGTGACTTGCTGCAGGACTGCACTGGCTCTCTGCCACAGACACGAGTGTGGACCCTCATCCCTGTTCCCACTCCCCCATTAAGTCAGCTTTGGGAGTGAGTGTGGAACAGGAAGTCTCTACTCAGGCAAAAGCCTGACCTCTAAGGAAGGCCATAGGAAATGCCTCAGAGGGCCTCTTCAGGGTCGGCCTTACCAAGGGAACCCAGCCATCTGCCAAGGCTGGTTGTCATCCCCTTCTTCCAGCCCCTCATGGAGAGTGAGAAGGCCAAGGCCCAAGCTGGGCCACCAGATTTGTAAAGGTCACAGTGGACGCTGAACTTAGGACCTTCCTGTGTCCAGATGGGGCAGACACCAAGCCTAGGCCACTGTCAACCAGGAGGTCACAGTCCTGTTCCCAAGCACCATCTGTGCTTCACCAACTTTTAGAAGGGGCTGGGCCTGAGCTCAGGTTGGCTTCCTTTGGAAGCAGATTCACAAAGAAGTGGGTGGAGAGTAGAAGATTGAGCGCTCCCATGGGGGAAGGAAGGGAGGGCCTGCTATAGCTCCAGGCTTTCTCCTCTTGCAGAGGGACAAGCCTCATGAGAAGGGGCATCAGGCTGAGGTCTCAGTCCCCCAGGAGCTGCAGGCTCAGGCCCTGAGTGTCCACTTCTACCAGGTGGATGCTGTAGTTTCCGAGGCCCTAGGAGCAAAGGACAGGAGGTGCTTAGAGGGTTCTGGGTGGGTTTTAGGCTTTCGGGAGGCTGGACTGTGGCTGCAGGGCCAAGGGGACTTAAACCTGTAGCCGCTGGTTAGCTGGTGGGCCACAGGGAGGGCTCCTGTCCCGCGCCAGATACCATACCCCGACCACACCATACCTCAGTCTTGGCCAGCACAGCCTCCAGAGCCTCCTTTTGCCGCGGCTCCTTGGTCAATAGGTAGAGAAAGCCCCCGCCGCCTGCCCCTGCCAGGCTCTGGCCATGCACGTGGGGGGCCAGGGCATCCATCATACGCCGCACAGCCAAGGGCTCACAGCCTGGAGCCATGAGCTTCTTCTGCTCCCAGTATGATGCCAGGCACTGGCCCAGCAGAGGCAGGCTCCCTGGGGTGGGGGCAGAGAGGGGAGTTGTGTGCCTGAGCCAGGATATTCACTCAGTGCCCATCTGTAGACTGGATGGGGTGCCAAGAGGCACTTCTTAACCAGTGTCATAGTTAAGAACCTGGGTTCAGTACTCACTGGAAACAGGAGTGATAAAGCCCACCTCACGGGGTTGTTTGAGGACTAACGAGCACAGAGCAGTTGGCGCGGTACCCGGCACAGTGTTCACTGAACTGTGTAACCCGAATCAGCTCTGACTCCCTGGAACTCGGCTATGGAGCCAAGCCTCTTCCCCCATCTGCTTCCTGGTAGGTGGGGCTGGAGGCCTTCCCCAGGATACAAGTATTGACCTGAGATGTGACTCCCACCTAAGTGTGGGACCCTGCAGAGGACAGAGGCTTCATACCTAGGGCCGGTGCCAAGTCTCCAAAGGCCCCGGGCCTCAGACCCACAGGCAACAGGCACTCACTCCTGGTGCCTGAGCTCCGGGGAAGAAGCGCCTTACCTTGGCGGAAGGCTTCAGCACACTCCTCAGTGTGCCGCACCAGGTTGCGGGCATTCTGCACAACGGCAGGCAGCCGGGCATACCAGCTCCTCAGCACGTCCTACAGATGGGGCAGGAGGGGTGCAGTGAGGCTCAGCCTAGCTGAGCCGTCTCGCGTCCCTCCCTTCTGGGGCCAGGGCTCACCTGCAGCAAATTCCGGGCCAGACGGGTCTTGCCAGTGTACACCAGGAGCAGGTGGTCATTGAGCTTCTGGACAAAGCCCACAGGCACAGTGATCTCTTCCACTTCCACCTTCAGCGGCAGCTGAGCCCGGGAGCGCCCCACCTTGATGCCAGGCATTAGGCCACCCACTTGGTCCTGCCAGCCACCTCCTGCGAGAGCCCGGGCCCCGTCACTGTTGGAGCCTATCTGGCCCAGCTTCCCTCTCCCAGTGCAGGCTCCTGGCCTTGCATCCCTGGCAGGGACCAGTGTGGGAAGACAGCTTCTCCCCACAACTTCAGCTGGGCCAGGTGAGCTGTGCAGCTTCTGCCCCCGCCCTGGGAGCAAATTGAGCCCAGCAATGGAAGGGGCTTCATTCTGGAGCCAAGCTTAGAATGCACAAAGCCTGAGTTTTGTTGCAGACCTAATGTGTACTTGGAATTGGGGTAAACCACATCAAAGGATTAAGACCTTACACTAACCTTTCCCTCTGAGGAGGGATGACATAGGACTTTCCCTACAGCCTAACAGTCCCTGCACCCTGGCTTGCCTGATAAAGGGTGTTGATGGTGGAAATAAGCTTCTCAGCATTTCTTATCAAACTTAAAATAGCTTGTTCACATTTTGCTTTACTAATGAAAGGTATGGATCTCTTTTCTTCTTGCAGCTATATAAAAATGTCAAAACTTGAGATGATTCTGGGATAGGCCTTTGATATTTGGAGAAGGGCCTGCAAGGATTTCGAGTATAAAATGCAAATGGCAGGAGGCATCTGGAACTTTACAGCCAAAATGTGGTTAGTGTCAGGCCTGGAATGTCAAGAACTCCTTAATTGCACCCCTCTCCTTCGGAGCACGTAGCGTAGCTTGTAATTATACATTTATTGGAGTGGTTATTGATCAGTGTTTGTCTCCAGTAGACCGTAAGACTTTTGATGGCAGGGATGCTGTTTTTGCTCGTTTTATCCCCAGGGCCCAATACAGAGAGGGTATTCGATAAATAGTTGTCATTTGACCAAATGAGAGATATGTTTTAGTTTTCTCAAAAGAAAACTAAAAAAGCTTCCCCATCTGCCCCTTTTGCTAATGACTACCTATTATGGGATGTGAGTCATTACAATGAAAGGAGGGAGCTAGGCTACAAAGTGGCCAGAGAAGATACCATAATCAGGCATCTATACATCTTTGTGGCAGTTTCCCTCCCAGAGTCATGCTGAAGATGAGGCCTGGCATCCTGAGGTGACCAGAGCACCCTAGAGCCAGACAAACCTCTGGCTGCTCTCCATTGTGCATGGATGCTAAGGGGCCACAGTGATGAGTAGGAGAAGCTAGTGACATTCTGTATGATCACAGCCATGGTGCTAGTGGTGACATTCTGTATGATCACAGACATGCACTGGGTACCCCATCATGTGGTGGGGGAAGCGAGGGACAAGTGGCCCTAGCCCAAGAGAGAGGCACGGTGCTGAAGAACAGGCTGAAGGTCCTGTCCCCTAATCCAAACCCAGCACTGCCCTGAGGGACAGCCCTGGGTAGGAACAGAGACATGAGGAATACCTAACACACATGAAAGGTGCAGCACAGACTCTTAACACTTAGTAGGTGCTCCTACATCAAGTTCTTTGAGGTAGAAATATTTCATTTTGAAAACCACCAGAGGGAGAGTGTCAGAGTGATAAGAGGGAAGTTCTAACCATTGTAAGGAGCAGCACAGTTCTGTCTGCAGGTCCAGGGAAGCCCCTGGAGGCCCCTGAAAAAGTTCCAGTGACCTCCCTCTGCCCTGGGGCAGGCCATACCTGTGGTAAGCACCTGCTCCAGATGCAGCACTGCGTGGATCAGGGCCTCCGTGCCCACCGCCCGGCCTGCGGCCCGCTGCAAGGCGGCCAGGGCAGCCCCCGCCAGGATGCTGCTGGTGCCTGCAGGGCACGGAGGAGAGTACCAGCCATGAAACAGCTCTGCCCAGCCCAATCCTGCCCCACCCCCTCCCTCTCCACTGGGCAGAGGCTGGGGAGAGGATTGGAGGCAAAGCTGAAAGGGGGAACAGAGTCGGTGAGCAGCAGGGAGACAGGGCCTGCTCACCAAGGCCAGAGCCATGGGGCAGCTCAGACCAGGTATGCAGCTCAAAGCCGCCCCCAAAGGTACACAGCAGCTGCTCACTCAGCGAGAGCTTGGAGTGGACACTCACGATCCCCGCACAGATGAAGGCCGCCTTCAACAGCGCCCCTGTGGAGTGAGCAGCATCCGGCAAGGAATTTGGTCTCCAGGGGTGGAAACAGACATCCCACCCATCTCAGCCTGGCCTGGGGCTCATCTAGGGTATAAAAGCCCAGCAGCGGTGCATACCCCATCCCCAAGCCACAAAAGGTCCTCTGGGCTCCATAACACCAGCAAATGTGCCAGCTCTACCTCCTGTGCCTGGGCAGTGTAACGTCAGGGCTCCTCCACCAGACTGGCTCGCCCTCAGGCCAGGCACCCATGGCCTGCAGGGTCTCTCGGGTTCTGCCCCCATCCCCCAGCTGGCTAGGTGTGCCATCCCCACCTGCGCAATTCACAGGTGCCCTGACCTGGGGCATGGGGCTGGCAGTAATCCTGCAGGTCATCCAGGCTCCCGCATACTATCTTCGTGGCCATCTTGTCCTGCCGAGGTCCCAATGCCAGCCACAGCTCGGGCTCTGGGATGCAGCGAGCCCTGGCCCCAATGGGCCGGCGGCCATTCACTCGCACAGCCAGGCCCAGCACTGCCCCACCAAGCTCATAGGCAAGGGGTGGCGTGTCACTCCAGCCCCCTGTGGCAATTGAAAAAGACCAAGCTGGTCACAGGGGCTGCCAGCTCAGTTCTGGGGTGGCTACCCTCACCCCTACCCACCCCCCCAAGGGGCTCACCAGAGAAGTCCACTCGAGCCGGGCACTCAGCCACCACCCACTGCCCAGGTGCTGGCAGCTCTACCGGCACCGAGGAGACAAAGTGCTGGGCTGACATCACAGCCTGGCGGATCAGGATCTGCCCAGCCCCCTCGTAGTGGCGGGCAGCTCGTACTAGTAAGGCTGGTCTGCCAGGAGGGAACAGAGAGATGGTGGCATGGAGCCCCAAGCTGGGGGCGGGCTCCTTGGGTTTGGGGACCGACTACCCTAGGTGACCTGAGGACACTCCACCTCTCTCTGGGTTTCCACCTCCAAGGACGGCAGGGGGCTACTCCAAGGGTTTTGACATCGTTAGCACCCACCTGCTCAGCCACTTGTCCCGCTCCTCGGCAAGCGCCGCCACGCCCCGCGCCAGGTCTCCACACTCCAGGTACAAGAAGGGCCGCACCCACTCAGGGTTGGCAGCTGGCCCACTCCGTAAGCCTCCTTGGCCCTCTGCCATGCAGCCCAGGACATCCGCCACACAGGCCAGTGCCCGGGCTGCCACGCCAGGGTCTCCCACACCAGCTGCCACTGAGGGACCAGGAGTCAGTAGTAGCTGGGGAGGAGGCCCGCCCTCAATGCCCCCTGCCCTCAAGCACCCCAGACCTCTTCACTTTTGCCCAAGATGTATCCTTGCCTGGGAATGCTCCCCACTCTTCTGCCTGGCAAAGTTCTCATCCCACCAGCCCCAGCCCAGACATGCCTCTGCGCCCCCCAACCAGGATGCCCTTAATGAGTAAGAGCTCAGGCTTGGGGGGCAAACCACCTGGGTTCAGTCTCAGCCCCCCACCAACCAGCTGTGTGGCCGTGAGTGAATAACTGAAATGGGGAATGAGGCAGTCCCTGTGAGGCTAAGGCTGAGTCCCCAGCCAGAATGCCTGGGCCCCATGCAGGGCGGGCCACATCCCCCTGGGGCTGTGCTGGAGCTCTTCACCCACATCCAGCCCCCACCCCCACCCCCGCACAGAACGTGCAGGCTTTGCCGATGCTCACAGGACCCAGAGGCTCAGCCCCAGGCCTCCGCCTCTCACCAAACTCCCCACTAACAGGAATGGAGCTTCCCAGAAACCTAAAAGTTAAGTCCATTTGTGTCTTTCCCCTGCTTTAAAGTCTCATGACTCCCTAGTACCCTCAGGTCGATGACCTAGAGGGCAGACAGGGCAGGTGATGCTGGGTCTGGCTTCCCAGCATGGGTGCCCAGCACACTCACCCTGGTCCAGGGTGGCCATCAGGGGCCCAGGAAAGCCCTCGCGCACAGCAGCCTGGATCAGCGGGCGCAGGCTGAGGTCCTGTCGGGCCTCCAGCACGTGCCGCGCCTTATGCAGGGCCTGGCGGAAGAACAGGTGCCGGCGGGAGGCCAGTGTGGCAGCCCGATCCAGGCACGGCTGCAGCTGCTCCCATGACAGACGCCAGCAGGCTCGCCAAGCCCGCAGGGCCTTGCTCCCAGCCTCCTGGGGGTCCAGCATCCACAGCATGTCCTGGGGCCCCAGGGCCCTCGAGGGGTGGAGCACGGGAAAGAGACGGGCACTGAGAAGGCAGCGCTCAATGGGGGGCATGTCTGGGTCCCACAGGTCCCAGTCCCTGATGTGGGGAGAAGACACATGAGCAGGAGGGAAGCAAGTGCCCCTGCCTGGTCACCAAGACCTGACCACCTGTCAGCTGGGGGTTGGCTCATTCATGGGGACAGGACGAACTCCAGAGGCCGCACAAGCAGGCAATTCAGGGAGGGAGGCCCAGCTGCCCTGCCTCCTTCCCCAGGCCATTGAACAAAATCCCAAAGCCTGAGCACGGCCAGGAATTTGGAGTTGCCCAGGGAGAAGATGCTAGGGAAAATCAGGCTGCTCGAAACTACCCCAGGGGACTTCTCTGGCGGCACAGTGGTTAGGAATCCGCCTGCCAGCACAGGGGACACTGGTTCGAGCCCTGGTCCAGGAAGATCCCACATGCCGTGGAGCAACTAAGCCCACGAGCCACAACTACTGAGCCTGCGTGCCACAACTACTGAAGCCCGTGTGCCTGTAGCCCATGCTCCGCAACAAGAGAAGCCACTGCAGTGAGAAGCCCGTGCACCGCAACAAAGAGTAGCCCCTGCTCGCCGCAACTAGAGAAAGCCCGCCCACAGCAATGAAGACCCAACGCAGCCAAAAATAAATGAAATAAATTTAAAAAAACAAACAAACTACCCCAGACTGCAGGGATGGTGGGAGGTGGGGCAGGATGAGCAGAATGAGCCTCCAAGCAGCTACCACCCTGGATGCCGAGGCCCACAGAGGCCCGTGGGGCCACCAACCCTACCGAATGCCTGTCTTCTGGAAGAACTGACTCCAAGACATGTTGAGATACGTTCCTGTCCCCTGTCTCTGGGGAAAGAGAAGGAAGCAGTCAGGGCTGCAGGGGCCACAGGAAGGGGTTAAGGGCAATAAGGCCAGAGGACAAGGATCTGCTCAAGAGGGGACAGGAAAAGAGACAGGGGCACTTAGGCAAGCAAGTTCTGAAACAGCATCAAGTCCTGGAGCTTCCACATTCCAGCCCGGGTGCCTGGAACTTGGAGCAGAATCCTGGCGCCTGACCCTCCATAACTGGCTCTGCAGCCCAAGGCGGGTCACCTCCCTCTCTGAACCTCAGTCTCCGGCCTGAAAAATGGGGATAAAAATCCCCACCCAGCCTGCGTCAGAGCAGCTGAGGAGGGAGGTAAAGGCCTGTTGAGACTCTACTGGCTACACTCTCCTCACTGCCTATCCCTCAGGTGAGCGCTCAGAGAGCCCTGCAATGAAGCTGCGCTAGGACCCCCGGTGCTCCCCAAAGCCTAAAGAATGGGGGCGAGGGGAGGCAGGTGAGCACCTACTTCCCAGCTGTCGAGACGGCCAACGAGGGTGAAGGCCCGGCTGCGGGTGCCGTGCAGCTGCACATGGTGTCCCTGCAGGACGAGGTCGTGCAGCTCCAAGCCGTGCAGTGCCTCGGACTGGGCCACGTCCAGGCCACTCACGAAGCAGCCGGTGCCGATGTGAATGGGGCCCTGGCAGGGGAGCGGGCAGGCGTCCTGCGTGGACAGGGGAACCCCAAGCATGCCCACAAAACACACAGGACCCTGGCTTCCGTACCCTTGCCCTCCCTCTGCCTGCCCTCTCAGGCCTCACCCGCAGGTGGCAGTGCTGCAGGACACTCCCAGGAGCCAGCTGGACGGGGCCCTCCAGCAGGCAGCTGACCACAGAGCTCCCGGCCCCCAGTAGCTGCCGCTCCTGTGAAGCCAGGGAGAAAGCTGTGAGGGCCTGGGGCGGGGGCTGCCCCAATTCTCCTCCACAGCCAGGGCCAGAATTCCTGCTGCTCCCTGCGCCTGTCGGCCAGCCAGATCCCTCTCGATATCTCCCTGGCCACAGCCTCAGGCTGACTCCCATCCCATCTTGATTTCTGCTGCTCCCCCAGGGGCACGCTCTCCCTGCCTTCTCCTCCAAAGCAAATCTGCACCCAGTAGTGGAGGTCCCACCAGATGACAGCTCCCCCAGAAAACCTCTCCCACCTGTCCAGCTACCCCTACCCCTGCCACCCTGAGAGCCACCTCTGAACTCTACCTGCCCCATCACCATGAATTTGCCTGAATCCCCAAGCAGACCCTTCAGAAAGGGTGTGTGTGGGGGAATCTTCTCTAGCTGCTCACTCAGACTTGGATGTAGAATCCTGACTTGGCCACTTACTGGTTCTGTGGTCTTAGGCAAGTAACTTAACCTCTCTGAGCCTCCAGTGACTCACGTGCAAAATGGGGATAATAACACCTACACGCATAGATAATCTGTCCCAAGAGTGAGCTATTCCCTCCCCTCCCTGCATCCCCCCCATTCCTACCTGTCTTCAGGTACCCCGTAGGCCCCTCTGCTGGCCTTACCTCCAGGCAGGTCTTACCTCCACCTGGGAGTGCACGACCTGGGCCCCAGGAGCCCCCGGGAATGTGAGACTGTGCAGGAACTCACTGGCTGAGTTGGTCATGTAGTTGTAGCTGCCGTCAGGGACATATGCTGTAAAGATACAAGTACTGACTCCAACACCCTGCACGTTGCAGCTCTGACACCAGGCTGGGCCTCCCACCAGAAGACACATCTTCATCAGGGCCTGGGAGGGCAAGCATGGAAATGAGCCCGCTGTGCCAATGGGGAAGCTGAGATCCAGAGAGGCTCAGCAACCTGCCCAAAGTCACACAGCTAGAAAGTAGAAAGACCAGGACTGGAGCCCAGGAATGAGACAAAGGAAGAAGAGGAGAGTTACCTCAGCAGGGGACTCGGAACTGGGAGAGGGTAATTGTCCAGTCCATGCACTCACTAGCCCTGCCTGGTCCAGGAGCCTGGGGGCCAGGCAGGTGGGGTGGGAGCCTCATTCTGGGGGCCTTTACTCCCATGGCCTCCCCACCCCAGAGAGCCAAGAGGCAGTACCCACCCACTGTGAGGGGCTGATCCCGAAGCTCCCTCCACAGCTCAGCCCGGGCTCCATGCCGATAACCTGCGATGTCTGCATCACCTTGCCCCATCTCTGGGGGCTGCCCCACCAGGAAGTCCTCCCTTCTCACGTTCCGGGCCATGCAGAGCAGGATGTCAAAAAATAGAGACAGCTGGGACAAGGGTGGGAAGCACTGCTATTAGTGGGTTCCTAGGCTGAGCTGGGTGGTTCCATCTCTAGAGACGCTGACATAGAGAGGGGAAAGGACTGGCCTGAGGTCACACAGCCAGGCTGCCAGTGTCAGTGCCTCATGCCCAGGCCAGGACCTGCCAGTCCCCAATCCCAGTCACCTGGACAGGCCGGGCTCCGGAGTCCAAGCCCATGTAGGTGCAGGCGTCCAGAGGCGGGCTCACATGGGTGGCCAGGAGGTGCTCAGCAGTTTCCACAGAGAAGAAGACAAGCCCAGAAACCTGGAGGGGCCCCCACAAGGGTCAGGTGGGAGACCCTGGGGCCAGCCTTGTGCCTGAGTTGGGGAGGGCCATGTGCAGATGGGCCAAGCAAGGCTGACTGCCACACCGGACAGGATCATTCATCTTCTGGGCCACTCCAGCACCGAGACTCCAGGCTTACTGGAGGCAGCTCCACCAAGGGCCCCTCAGCAGGCAACTTCTAGGACCCCCTCAATTTTTAGGTCTCCTCCCAAACCCAGTTCTCCATCTTCCCTATAGTCTAGTCCCAGGCTCTTATCCACCACTCGTACCTTTGTCCTTCATTCTAGAAGGATCCCCTGAGTCTGGTTCCAGCCTTTCTCATTTGGGACAAGACCCTGAATTCCAAGGCTGCCCCCTCCTCAGATTTTGGCTTCACCTGCTCCCCTGAATACCAGTTCCAGATCTTCCTCAGATTCTGGTTCTAGCCTTCCCCAGAAGGAGTGGGGCTCTGCCCTGGCAGCCATACCAGTGGCACCCGCCCATCAGGCCTGGCACATCGTTGTATCTCTGCCTCAGTGCCTTGGTAATAAATGTCCAAAACGAAGCCCTACGTGGGAGCAGAAAACAGAGTTAGGGAAGGGAGCAACAGAGGATTACGAAAGAGGGCACGCAAGGATGTTCTCCAGATGTAAACCCAGGATGCAAGTCTGACAGGCCCCAGCATACTCCTGGGGATACAAGGGCCTGAGACCTCCCCCACCCTGACAGCAGAGGGCAGGCTTCAAATGTCTCCACAGCCCCAAGCCTGGGCACAGAGCCTGGCACGGGATCAGGGGCAATTCATGTTTGGTAAAAGACTAAGTGAGCACAAGAGCTGCTGCCATGGGGCGAAACTCCTCCACATCCAGACCATGCCAGAAAGTCCAGGACGAGGCTGCCCAGAGCACAGGACCAAGAGGCCATCCCAAGATGGCTCAGCTGCCCACGCTGCTGCCCCAGGGGCACTACCTGGGAGTCCATGAGGTAAACACCATGGTTCCGGGCATAGGCCGTGCTCCCCGGAAGGGCGATCACTCTGGCTCCCCGGAAGCCGTCCCAGCTGATCCCTGCAGGTGGGGGAGTCAGGAGGCTCTCCAGGGACCCCAACCCAAGGAATGGGGGAATCCCTTCCAGGAGGAGGGCAGGGGCATCCAGGCACCTCTAAAGAAAATATGGTTTCCAAAGCCAAATGGACATTCCTCTGGGAGAATGACAACACCTCACCCCCAAAGTTTGTCCACAGAGCCCTTTGGGGCAAAGTGGGCAGGGCTAGGTATCTCCACTCTACGGACAGGCAGACTGGCCCAGCAGGGGAAGCCCTGCCTCCTGGTCTAAGCTCCATCCTTCAAACCTTAGAGTTGCCCTTGTGAACAGGGCAGCAGGCCAGGCCCAGAGACGGGGTGGGTGAGGAGAGGCAGAGCCACGTTGGCTGTGGCTAGGGAAGGCAGTCCCAAGCCTTCTCAGGCTCACCTGGGTTTGGAGGAACAGACAGCAGCATGTCGGTGCTGCAAACCCACACGCCTGGCGGGGAGCCTGGGCCCAGCTGTGGGGAGAGAGAATGAAGCTGGTGGCTGGGCCCAGCCCTTCCTCTGCTCCCACACAGCACAGTCTCGGCCTGTTCCAGGGAGACTCGGGCTGCTGAGGTAACAGGGGCCTCCCTATATCCATGGTGCCGATGCCAGCCCTCCCGCCTACTTCCTGAGGCCGTACCTCCCCGCAGTGTGGCCAATGCTAACATCCTGAAGCTCTAACTCACTCCAGGCACCCGAAGCCATTGTTCCTGGCATCCCCTGTCTGAGCCAGCACAGACTATGGCTGGTGGCTCAGCAGGAAGGCCCCATGGCAGCTGCCTGTCTCACCCGATGGCTCATGATGTCCAGCAAGCAGTCCAAGTTGCAGACCACGGCCTCCACAGGGGCCTGGGGGTTCTCCACAGGGAGGCAGGTGAAGGCCCGGCCACAGTCATCGAAGGGGAAGTCTTGGCCCTGGGGCGGGAGCAGGGACAGGCAGAAGAGCTTGAGGCAGAGAGCCTGGGCAGAAAGCCATCAAGTTAGAGGACTTTTACAGAGTGTGTTCTCATGTGATTTTTTAAATTACATGATTATGGTAAAAAATTAGCAAATGCAGACACACAGAAAGAAAAACAATCCCTCAGGGATAATAACCGTTGCCCTCATTTTGAGGTTATGCCCTTTCATATACCTCATATGCATACTATTTTTTTTTTTTTACAAAAATGAAAAAGACGGAGACAACAGAACTTCACACACACACACACACACACACACACACGAGTACAAGTCAAACTGGAGAAAGATTGGGAACCATATCAATGTCAATATCCTGGCTGTAATTATACTATAGTTTTGGAAAATATGACCATTGGCGAGATCTGGGCAAAGTTTACAGAGGCTTCCCTCTGGATTATTTCTTAAATGTGGATCTACAATGATCTCAATCAAACTTTCAATTAAAAAGGCTGAGATCATTCTATACAAACTTGTGCGGCTGGTCTTTTTCACTGAACGATGAAAATATATTCACCGACGCTCACAGTGAGCCAGGCCAGGCCCCAATTTCAGCATTTGATGGGTCATCTCAGCACATCCACATGAAGTAGGAACTGCTGCCATCCTCATTTTACTGATGAGGAAACTGAGGCCTAGAAACAGTCAAGTGACTTGCCCCAGGTCACAGAGCTGGTCAATGCACAGGTCGGTGCAGAGAGTTAAATGGACCTTTCAGTCATTGTCTAATATTCCACCAGGAGGATATGCTGTTTATATTTAACCGGTTCCCTATTTTGGACACCTGGATTACTTGTATTTCTGATTCTTCAGGATTTGCACAATGCACACTGGCACACAAAGGCAGAAGACCCCTAAAGTCCCATCCAACCCCGAGGATTGACCATCCTTCTGCATGGCCCCTGCCCAGCATTCTACTGACCATGTGCAGGATGAGGATCCAGGCCGAGTGCAGAACATCTGATGTGACCACCTATCAAAAGTGGAAGAGCACTGTTCACAGAGGTCTGGGCGGATGGCACCCTCTTGTGCAGGGAGAGACCCCAGCACAAGTCCACACAAGAACCAAAGGGGGGACTTCCCTGGTGGTGCAGTGGTTAAGAATCTGCCTGCCAATGAAGGGGGACACGGGTTCGATCGCTGGTCTGGGAAGATCCCACATGCCACGGAGCAATTAAGCCCGTGCACCACAACTACTGAGCCAGTGCGTCACAACTATTGAAGCCCACGCGCCTAGAGCCCGTGCTCTGCAACAAGAGAAGCCACTGCAATGAGAAGCACGCACACTGCAACGAAGAGTAGCCCCCGCTTGTTGCAACTAGAGAAAGCCCGTGCGCAGCAACGAAGACCCAACGCAGCCAAAAATAAATAAATAAAATTAATTAATTAAAAAAAAAAAAGAACCAAAGGAACAACCAGCAAGGTCAAGACCAATGGCTACAGGCAGGCACGAGGCAGCCCTGGCCACTCCTGGATAAGGAAGCACAGCAGCCTTCCAGTTGGGCCACTCCCCTGTCCCCTGTTTTTAGGGAAGGCTGCAGGCGACAACGTGGGGCTGGCTGGCGGGTGACTCGCAGTAAGTCAGCTTCATGGTAACCACACAGTGGTCCCCTCCCCTGCGGGTGCCACCCCCACTGCCAGAACGTGTCCATGCCTGTGACCACCCTCACTGCCTGTGCCAGGGTGCCATGCAGACAAGGTGATCTCGTGAAGTGGCTGGGTGTGTGTGGGACGTGGGCCCAAGCTCTACGCACCGGGGGCCACTGCGCCTCAGTTCCAGCAAACCACTGCTATGTGGGAAGGAGAGTCCAGGGTAGCAAGATGAGATTTCTCAAGGGAAGCCAGAAAGCCTAACTCCTAGATACTGGCTCTGACTTTCTAAAACCACTACAAAGGCTGCCCCTGCCTTCTGCCCTCACCTGGACGAGTCTGCTCAATCTACAGATGCAAAAACTGATGCCAAACCAGAACTGGGCAGGAAAATGGAGCCCAAAGAGCTGGGGACCTTGGAAAGGCTCTGTTTGAAGCCCCCATCCCCGCTGTGCACAAGGGGGCACTTGAGCAGCACTCACAGTGAAGCCCGCACGGGCACTCAGGTGCTCAGCAACCACCAGCAGGGCGTTGAGGGTGGCTCCTCCACTGCCCACATGAACCTCAGGGTCTTCCACGGCCAACAGCAGCGTCCTGGCGGGGATCTGCTCTCGCTTCTGCCGTATCTCCAGCTCTGCGGTCAGAACATGACTGGGACCTGTCCCCCAGCCTCTCCACCCTGGTCCCAAGCACCTCAAGCAAACCTCCTGACAGCCATTATTTAATCTTCTTTGACTTAGCAGCTTTTCATCTAGTAGCTCATCAGATCTTTTCCCAACTCAGTGAGGTAAGTACAATTACTCCCATTGCACAGATGAGAAAACCGAGTCTCAGTGAAGTGACCTATGTCGGAGGTCACGTGGCTAGGAAGAAGCAGAATCTGGGTTGGAACCTGGGTCTGCCCAGCTCCTGGGGCTGTAGGGGTATGTGACAAGGAAAGGGGAGAGGGTTCCACATTAGGGGCAGAGTGGAGAGGGAAGTCAACTACCTCTCTGGAAGACCTCGACGCTGTCCTTGTACTGGCATGTCAGGATGATGACCGTCCAATCAACCCCCTTCGGCTGCTCCATTCTGGCCAAAGTTGAGGGGCTTCCAGGGCAGAGATATGGGTATATGTGAATTTTTTAAAAATTATCATACCCTAAAATTGATTTCTTTGGTTGTAAGTAGTTTTATGAATTTTAATACATGTATAGATTCTTGTGGTTACTACCACCATCTGCATCTTAAAAAGCTCCCACATGCTAACCCTTTACAGTCACACCCTCCTCCATCCCTCACCCCTGACAACCAGCCATCTGTTCTCCAAAGCTATAGTTGGAATGTAATCTTTTGAGATTGGCTTCTTTCACTCAACATAATGCCTCTGAGATTCATCCAAGTTGGCTATGCATATCCATAGTTCTTTCTCTTTTTTTGCCAAGCAGTATTCCGTCGTATAGACATCGCACAGTCTGTTTCTCCACCCACCCACTAAAGGACACCTGGGCTGCTTCCAGGTTTTGGTAATCATGAATAGAGCTGCTATAAACATTCATGTGCAGATTTAGCATGAACATAAGACTTCATCTCTCCAGGCGGACACCTAGGTGTGGGATTGCTGGGTCACATGATGAGTGTATCTTTGACTTCATCAATCTGGGTGCATGACATTTCCTCAGGAGAGGAAGTAAGGGGAGCGGGGTGGGGTTGACAGGGGGTCCCACCTTAAAACAAGGGGCTGCCCTTTCTGTACCGCAGGCCCCTCATCATCCAATCATTGGCACTGAGCTGCAGGGAGGGAGGCTCTAACTTCTAGGCTCCCGAGGCTGAGGGCAATTCCCCGGAAAAGAGGGAAGCTCTGGGAGAGGTGTACCAGTTTGTTCAAGCACAGCATGCTAACAGCACCCACTACAGGGACCTCAGAGGGGACCTCCCCTCCCAGAGGCTCCAAGCCAGAAGGGGGCAGCAACCCCACCTGTCAACCATCTTCCTCCAGGGCACTCTGAGCAAGTGAAGGGAAGGTGAAGCCAAAGCTATGGCTTCACCCACTCCTCTCCCCCAACACTCCTTTCCTACCGGATAAGAAACCAATCTGACTGTAGAGGCCCTGGCCTCCCCAAGACCTCTGTGGACGAGTCCCTAGGAGTGCGCTGGCATCTACCTCTGGCAGGGTCCCAGTTGCTGTCCCATGCAGCAGCCCACCCCCACCTCTTCCCTCCAGCCCCCAAAGCTCAGTGTGGGGAGGGCCGGTGGAGTGAGCTGCATGCCACCCCAGAGGTGCCCTGAGCACACGTCCATCTGCAGTCAACCCTCACCCCAGCCGGAGCCAACAGGAAACCTGAACCTCAGTAATGGTTCCTTCCTATGCCAGACTCTGCTGCCACCGAGCCCAGGGTTCAGGCTGACAGACACTGCCACTGAGCAACGCTCATACTCCCACAAGCTTTCAGGGAAAGCTTCCACCGCTAACAAAAATTGCTCTGTTCCCTGTTCAGCTCAGGAGGGAAATCCAGAGGGGAAACCTGAGCTAGAGATCTTGGCCAGGCATCTGAGGTCAAAGGCATTCCCCAGATTACCCATCTGGCCTTCTCAGTAAAGGGGGTGTCTGGGGATTCCAGATTGGCCACCAACTCCCTGTGTGATGTTCGGCACCCCTAACCCTCTCTGGCCTCCTGTGGTAGGGAGTGTAACGGATAGATGCCCCCATCTTGTTCACACGGAGGCCATGCTTCCCACCAACCAATGACATGAAGAAGACAGACCCACTCCTACAAGATGGGGATCCTCTGACAGGCACTCTTGGCTCCAGAACTCCCCATCAACCCAACAGAAACTGTCTTACAACCGCACTGCAGTCTGAGAGCTTTCTACCCATCCCTCCTTTCTTCCTTCCAGTGCTGTCACAGGAAGCAGAACTGAAAACTGACAGCTCTCTCTGCTTCCTCCAGCTCCCTCCCCTTCTTCCCTCCCCCAATAAATCTCTTGCAAGTCTAATCCCATCTTGTTCTCTGCTTCTCTGAGGAGCTAAACCATCATGGGAGTATATCATCTTCCTCTTGGGACTGCCAAAGGAAAAATTACTGTAAGAACCTCTAAATTAAAGCCTGGGAAGTACTTCCTTTATCCTTAAAGATGAAGAAACTGAGGCACAGAGAGATTAAGTGACTTGACCAAGGTCACAGAGCTAGCAAGTGGTAGAGCCAAATTTGAACCCAGACACCTTTTTTCCAGAGTCCATTCTCTTAACCCCTATACTGAATCTACTTTTTAGAATGGAAAAAAGAACAGACGTACTAAATATATGTAAAGTGCCCAATACAATGTGACAATGAAATGGGGATGGCATTAATGATAACAGCCACTAGAAGTGAGCTCATCCACCCATTCTGACCCACAGTTAAGGCACTATGATTTTTCATCTTCACAACACCACTGCCAGGTAAGTATTCTGTCCACTTTACAAATGCTAGTTGATGCTGCATCCATGACTGGGACCTGGGTGTCTCAGATTCTTATTTAGGTGATGGTGATAATGATGTTTGATCCCAAGCAAACGTTCTAAAAGAGAGCAATGAAGAAATGCCCCAAGGAGAGTCCAAAGGTCTGAGCCGGTCTTGGCATAGTGACTGAGAGTCATGAGCAGATGACAGGTCGCAGGCAGAGGAGGGAGGACGGCATGATCTGGACTGTACTCTACTAGAAACTGGAGCAGAGGAATAGTCCTGGGCTGTGAATCAACCCCCAGAGGCTGTCCCCAACTCTCCCTCTTCCTGTGTGATCTTGAGCAGGTTACTTAACCTCTCTGAGCCTCAGTTCCTTAATTGAAAACTGGAGCCAAGATACCAACCTCCTAGGATGGTTGCATTAAATAAAACATAAAAATATGTGGCACACAGCAGGAGCTCAATGAATGGTAGTTCTCTCCAGTGAGGAAAAGCAACAGGAGAGTTCGACTTGACCCTGAAGCAGGTTGGAGCGAAAGCTCTGATATATTCTCTGGGTCAAAGATGCCCCTGTAGAAGAAAAAAATCAGGGAAGGCCTGGGAAAATCAACCAAGGCTAAGTAGCATGCCTTGCCCGATAAGACTAAAGGGTATTATGAGAACACAAAAGGTGGAACAGTACTGGTGGCATAGGGAGTGTCTTCTTCAGGCACCACGCCAGAGACACGCTGAAGTATCAGCTCATGTGACACACTCAACAGCCCTATGAATTGAATTTTACCACATCTACGTTATATTTAAGGAAATTGTAGCATAAAGGGATGAAATAGCCTGCCCAAGGACATAAACAGCTTTTACAGGCAGGTCAGGTGTATCCAACTCCAAGATTCTTGTTCTTACCCACCCAGTAGAAACAAGACATCTCTCCTGGAGTCTTTAACTTCTGTCATACCTGACATTTGTACAGAAATCTTAGATAATACAGGCCTCTATCCAATATTCTGCACACTTCCAACAGAGCTTCATCTACTGAGGCCAAGTTGAAATAGTTCTTAATGTCCTCAGCCACACGCTGCCTAAAATTAGGATAGGGAAGGGAAGCCAGGGACAGAATAAAATAGTAAGGCCTCTTCATATTTTGCTTTTTGAAGAGAAGTGGGGCAGAGATTTTGCATTTTAAGGGGAAAAAGTAGCCCCACGGAGGAATCTGATTTGTCTTCTGGGAAGCGAAAAAAGGCAGAAGGAAGGTGATTGGGAGTAAAATTACATTGCAAATTACACAAACGTCATATAATTGAGATTTGTGGATAATGACGAGCCCCGATGGGGTAAACGGAGGCAGGAAAAGCGACCTCAAAGAAAAAATCACCAGCGCCAGCATCCAGAGGCCCACCTGCCTATGGTCCCTGTCCCGGGCGTCCCCAAGTCCCGGAGCTCCTGTAGAAAGACCCAGGCCAACGGGTTGAAGGACCCGCAGACGCCCCTTGGAGCAAGTGGGCGCCCGGAGGCTGCTGCAGAGTTCCCCGACGCTCTTCCCTATCAGGAACTAGGCAGCCAGTGGCCCGGCTCACTCCTGCGGGTCCAAGAGTGTGGGAGGGAGGCGGAGAAACGCCGCAGAACACTAGGGGGTACCGTACCGGTATCCGCGCGGTCTGATATACGTGCCTCCGCCGGCTCTCGGCACAGCAGGATCTTTCACGCGGCGCTGTGCGTGCCTTCGCGGCGCACCCTGGGAAATGTAGTTTCAGCCCTCCGCTCGCCCTGGTTTGTCCTCCCCAAAAGCCCAGCTCGGAGCTATCGCCTGAGCCAGCGGAGATGGTCAGGGCAGCGCTTTCCTAAAGGGCAGTGATTCTTCCCTTCGAGAAGTGAGGTGAGGGGAGAAGGCGGCTCCGCTGGGCAGCAAAACTACAACTCCCAGAGGAACCAGTGCGTTGTAAAGACAAAACTCGTTTTCTGAGACTCGGGGTTCCAGGTTTGTGTTTTGTTCGTTTGTTTAACCCCCTGGCGGGGGGCGTGGTGCCGCCGCGTTTCCCCGAAGAGACACAAATCAAACCTGGAGGAAAAACCCCCACAGGTGTTCGAGCGTAAGCGACTACAGTTGGATTGGCAATTGGCCATGCTTTGGCGGGTTCATTATGTGGGTCCTTCCGGTAGAAACTTTTCAACTCTGTAGTGGGAAAAAGATCTGTGGCTTTTTTGGAAAAGTTATGAATGGCAGCATTGTTCGTAAGAGCGGAAAACTGTAAACTCTGTCTCCGGGGTACTGGGAAAATAAACTAGGCACATCCATGCAATGGAATACTATGCAGCAGTTAGAAATAATGAGCTAGATCTACATGTTCAATAGGGAAAAGTGTTCAAGACACTTTGTTAAAGAACATTATGTATGGGAATCTACTCATGTCAAAAATAATGTATGCGGACATATAGTACATGTGGATAGGAACCGGACCGGAAGGAGCACCCTCTGAGGTGGAGACTGCCAGGGATGGGGATAGGCAGGGAGAACTTGAGCTTTATTTGTATTGTTTGAATTTTTCTTATGAGAATATACTTGCCAAATCTAGTGTCCTTAATAGGGAGCCTGCGAGGCCCAAGCGGTCAGTCTCAGAGAAGATGAGGGATTCTGCTCTAACTCTGTGTAACCTTGGCCAGTCACTTGGCTATTCTGCCTCTTTGTCTTTATCTGTAAAATGCGGTAATAATAGTGTCAAATGCCTAAGATTCTTATGAGGATAAGATAAATAAATTCTTGACTCCATAGTAAATTCTCCAAAAATATTAACCATTATTATGATGATTGTTGTTACTCCCACGCGGACTCCTTAAAGCTGGATCAATGGTTTGTTCACTATTGTATCCTCAGTCACTAGAACGTGCCTAGGACATTGTAGGTGGTTAAAACAATTTGGGTTTGTATTGTTTGTTTTTCTGGGGTTTTTTGGCCGCACCACATGGCTTGCGGGATCCTAATTCCCCAGCCAGGGATCAACCCCGGACCTTGGGTTCTCGGCAGTGAAAGCGTGGAGTCCTAACCACTCTCCCACCAGGGAATTCCCAACAATTTGTTGAATGAAGGAATGAATAAAGAGCAGTCCCCTACTCAGCTCCTACTACCCCGCCTCCTCCCCCAAATCTCTCTCCTTCTCTCAGTCTTCTCCCACTAGAGTCATCCCCCCTCTTCACTTGGCCCAGGTCTCATCCTCCTTCCCCCACTTCAGCACCTGCTCTCTTCTACTGTGAACCCAGCAGGCCTCCAGGGAAGAGATGAGCTCCCTCCCACTGCTGCTGTTCTCAGCTCTGCGGTGGAGTGGAAGACAGGGATGCCTGCAGCCGCAGCGTGGCGGGGGCTCAAGGAAAACAGCTCCGAGGAGCTCAGAGGCCAAGGGCCTCCTAGGGCGGGCATGCTGGCCACGTAGGGAGTGGCTCCAAGGCCACTAGCAAAGATACTCACAGAAGGCTTTTTTTTTTTTTTTTTTTTGCGGTATGCGGGCCTCTCACTGTCGCGGCCTCTCCCGTTGCGGAGCACAGGCTCCGGATGCGCAGGCTCAGCGGCCATGGCTCACGGGCCCAGCCGCTCCGCGGCATGTGGGGCCTTCCCGGACCGGGGCACGAACCCACGTCCCCTGCATCGGCAGGCAGACTCTCAACCACTGCGCCACCAGGGAAGCCCCAGAAGGCTTTTTAATGAGATAAAGCCCTCAGCAGCAGACACAAAAGCATGTAGCTCTCCACCCCACGGTCTGGGGTAGACAGAGCCATGAAAAAACATTCTGATGCTATAATATAGAGTAGATTCTAGTAGTTAAATACAGGGTTTGGAATCAGACAACTCCTCCCCAGTTCTCATCACTTTCTGACAGTGTGAGCAAGCCACTCAAATTCTTTGAGCTCAGCTTTCTTCCTCAGCAAGAATACAACAGTATTTACCTAACCAGGTTGTTGGGAGGATTCAATGAGCCAATGCATATAAAGGGTCTGGCACAGAGTAGGCATCCAACTTCCTTATTAACCAATCATTCTGCCAAAATGTAAGGGTGCCAGTCTGGAAGGCTTCTTGGAGGAGGTACAATCTGCAGGACCCTGCATGAGATATGAGGCTGCTGGTAGCAGGAAATCCCTCTGGGAGCCAGGACTACCCACAGGGATATCTTAGGTTGAGTTCCCTAGATGCCTTAGGTTGAGTTCTCAGAGCCTGAGAAAGGGATTCTTGTGCAAATGATCTCCTAGGGCAGTGAGGGAGGCAGGATAGGGCAGGGGAAGAAGCCAAGCAAAGATGTTGGTTCAGCTAAGTCTAGCCTCAGTCTGATCCTCTGGGGAGCTCTGGAGCATAAAATACATCACAAGGTTTATCCCTCTTAGAAGCAAGGGAGCTGGACTTTTTACCCCACATCAGTCATTCGTGGGCTGTGGGCAGGCCAAGGAGAGGTAGGGAAAGGAGGGCATCTCCAGGCAAAGCAGCTCACAGGGACTGATACCAGTTCTTCAGAGAAGGGTGCATCTATGAGACATTAGCAGCCAGCACTCGCAACAGCAGGGGAATGGGTGCAACCATCCCTGTAAAGGTATATAACCAAGAGTATTTACTGCCAGGGGACTGGCAAAGAGATGGGAACTG